TTCTGAAAGTTTTTGGAACTCCTCACCATTCTTGCCTGTGATTTTATGATTTCGGTTGCACTTGTTTAGCTCAAAGCTGCAGGGAAGAAGCCAGTGTAGGATTCAGAAATTAGAACCCCTAGCTCTAGCCTAGTGCAGAGGCTAGTGGTTTATTTAAGTAACTTTCAGGAATTCCTGAGCTATTAAAATGTTTTATTTTTTCTGACATACTGTGTCTTAAGTGTAAAGAAAAAATACAAGAAATTGATAATGTCCAGTGGAATTCAGGAAAATGAAATTAGAGTTGTCGTTGCACAGCAAGGAAAGTGCAAGATAAATGAGCTCCTGCTCTTCCATTCTGAGTCATGATTAGAGCTTGCCGGCTGCTTCCTGTGCTGCTGCTGACATTAATTAGTACTTAGGCTTGTTGTCTCAATGCTCCTCTGGTATTTCTTATTTGTTTCCCCAATTAAATGTTAAATTTGGCTATATGTGGAGATGGGCAGACAATCTAAAGTCTATTAACTTTCCTGAAGCTGCAAATCAGTGGTGCAAAAGCAGCTCTTTTTGCAGTAGCCAAGGGGTGTGATTTTATTCCCCTTGAAGGTCCCAAAGGATCTTTTAAAACTGAAGTTTTTGTCATTATTCTGCTTCTGAGAATCAGGTTTTGTAGCAATACTGGCCAAAATACCTATTTCCCCTTCTTTGCATTGCGTGAAGTGGGAGCTGTAAGCAGCCTGAGCTGCTGTGGTCTCCTGGGAGGGATTTCCGGACACGCTTCGTTTTCCATTGCAATAGGAAGCTCCCAAGTGTTTGTGAATTGTCCTTTGGAGCAGAGCTCGGCTTCGTGGTTAGGGTGAGCAGGAGGGAAGCCCTGACCTGCCCTTCTGCTCGCTGCTTCCCATGGCGATTCCCTGGCAAAGTGGATTAGTGGCAGGATCGTTCACCTGGGAATTGCAAATGCAGATCCCGTGTGCGTGGGCTGGAATGCTGCCTGTTTGCAACCGCAGCTCCTCTGCTGCAGCTTTCTTGACCAGCTACCTGGGTGCAAAAGCTTCACAGCTGCTGATTCTTCCCTTTGCAGCAAAACACGTAGCAGCAGCGAGTTGCAAAAGCTGCTGGTGTGCTAATTCCCCCTGCCCTAGCGCGAGCCGGGGCGCGTTTCTGACGCGCCGCGTGTCTCCACAGCCCCGATGCTGCTGATAGCACTTCCTTCGATGTGCAACTTGGAGACATCATTTTGACTGCGACAGACGGCCTCTTTGACAACATGCCTGACTACATGATTCTGCAGGAGTTAAAAAAGCTAAAGGTAAGAAGTGTGCATGTGTTCCACATGTTTCACATGGCTTTTGTCCTGGCAATCCCCCAGTTTTCTCAGAAAAAGTTCTGAACTTTTCCAGGCTGGTAACTGGCAATGTTCTCTTGAAATGGTAAAAACTTACTCAACAATTTTAATATGACTGAGAGTGTTGTGCTTGAGGCTATTTACCTGCGCACAGGAAAGCACCCGTGTGGGGTATCAGTATGTGTAACTTCCCCGAGGAAAGGATTTTGCTGCCGTGTGATGCAGACGGGGTGAACGTGTAGAATTAGAGTGCGGTTTCAACAAATCTGCCTGCCCTTATCCTGCAGCTACGCGTCGGGAGCGGCGTCAGGAGTCTGCCCTCCCAACCAGCTCTCCAGAGGCCCTGCCTGGACACGCACGCGGCTGCGTCTCCCTCTCTGCAGTCACCACCATCCATCTTCCCCATTCGTTTTGTTGCAGTATTCCGACCTGGAAGTGAACAGCCTATAGATAGGCTGTAAAATTAAAAAGGTGGTTGTAGCAACAGGGAAACTATTGCAGAGGCTTCAACCAAGCTGGCAGTGGCAGTGAGAGCACAGGAGGTGCTCTGTTGGGGGACACTTGTTTGCTGGTCACTGGCCTGTGGGGCTGGTAGTCACCCTATAGCGAGATGATATTGGGGTTTGCTCTGCTCCCGCTTTCCTCTCTCGGCCTGAGGGACATGAGGGTTTAATTCTCCTAAGAAAAGGTTGAGCTCCACCTATTGGGTGATCTAGGTAAGGCCCCTGTGTGCTGCCAGGGAATTTGGGCTTTCTGTTCAATTAAAATATAATTACACCTGAGCCTGGTTTGGGCGGGCGGAACGGCGCTCTCCACGTGAACTGCTGTATCAGCTCTCAGATCTGTTTCCCCCAGGTAAGACCGTGCAGTCTACTTCACATATTAGTCTTCTGAGCATTCAAAATGTACATTTTCTTTATAAAACAAGTCTATAGCTGCTGTTAGGGAGCAGGTTCAGACTTGAGTTCTGAAGATGTGCCCTTCTAGCCCAAATTCATAAGGCCTAAAACACCGTGTAGGCTCCATTCACACTAAAGGCGGTAACGAGTACCCGAACTTGAGAGCACTTTTGCAGCTGGGTGTCTGTAAAGCTGATGTATCTCTAACATGGCTACTCAGAGAATTCCTTACTGAAATAATTCCCATAAATTTCATAACTTCTTTATAACCTTTCCTAACTTCTCGTTCATTTAGAACTCAAACTACGAGAGTATACAGCAGACTGCAAGAAGCATCGCAGAGCAAGCGCACGAGCTGGCCTATGATCCCACTTACATGTCACCGTTCGCACAGTTCGCGTGTGACAACGGGCTGAACGTGAGAGGTGAGGTGGCTTCTTCTCCCACTCCTGCCGTCCTCGAGAAATCTTAGGCTAGAAAGTGAATTTCTGGTACCCTAAAATCTGATAACGAAAGCACAGCGTGAAGAAACGCGCGTGGAGCCGGTCTGCCCCGCCAAGGGCTTCGTGTCTGCCAAGGGGCCCGGGCAGGGTCCGGCGCGTCGGAAGCCGTCGGGAATTCCGGGAGCGCAGCTGGGCCGTGTAGCCTGTGCTCTCCCGCGCCAGGAATCCAGCCCGGAACAAACTCGCCAGGCTCCCAGGGAGCTGTTCTTGACTCGCTCCTTGGATTAAGGCTCTTTGTGGGTTTCTGTGTTCTTTTGTCCTTTTAACATTATTATTCCAGTCCCCATCTCAGCCTTGTCTGTATTTTGTGTGCTCTGGAAAGGTCACTAACACATGGCAGAGTTCACAGTCCTATTAAATATACGTTTAAAAACATCTGTCCTCAGTAACTCTGTATGAGGAGGACAGGGTTTCCTGCAAGGCTCCTTTCCTAAAGGCTGAGGCAGCGGCTGTGGAGCAGGAGCTCTGCACAGAGCCTGATCTGCTGTGGACAGATGCAGAAGGGACCTTGTGCCTGTGGTGCCCACACAGTCACTGCAGCTCTCCAGTCCAAAGGACTGCTTGAACCTCTGCGTAATAAAATACCTTTTCTCTGAGCTAGATCTATACAATTCGAGTGTATCATTCCAGTTACTGTTCAGAAAAGTGGTTATTAAAAATACTAAAGAGCTTTTGAAAGGATTTTCAATAATGCAGTGCTGGAGGAGATGCTAAGGAGATGCCTTAGTGTTTGATTTACAGCAAATTCCTGAGAAGATGCTTGTTTTTTGGAGCTTGACTGTAACAAATCAATTTCAGTTAATTAAAAAAGGGGGAAAAAAAATCTGTGTTGGAGAACAGGCTTTCTGCTCTGCTGGCTAGCAACAGTGTCCAAGGTTCCATCTCCCTTTACCGGCTTGGTCACAGTGCTGCTCTTTTGTGCCCTGGTGAGCGTTGTTGCTGCTCCTCGTTGCCTTTGGAAAGGAAGGGAAGGAAGCAGAGTTCTTGTCTGCACAAAACTATTTCTGAGTATTTGAACCTCTTCAGAATGAGCTTTCAGGAGGGAAGGAGCATATACCGAGAAGCTGTATGAGGTGACCCACTGCGGTTTGATGAAATAGTTTCACTTCTCTTATGTTGCAGGGGGAAAACCAGATGACATCACCGTCCTTCTTTCTATTGTAGCTGAATACACAGACTGACTCGCCGGGAGCGTCGGCCTCGCCGTCCCGTTGCCCTGGGCTCCCGGCCTCGCGCGTCCGTGTCCTGCTGGCAGGATTGCTCCCTTTCCTTGCCGCTGAGCTCGGCAGCCGGTTCCCAAGCACGTTGCCTGTCCCGAGACACAGCCGAAGTCCTTGTCAAGAACCACTCTTGTAGCACACTGGTGTCCGCCAGCAAGAAGTGCAGAAGCTCGAGGCTTCCGCCTGCCCTTCCGAGCTTAGGGATTGTCCGTAGAAGGGGGAGGATCAACCGCACGTTCATCCTGCGTTTGAAACGTGACTTTCAAATGGCTAGAATTGGTCTATCATCATTCAAGCTAGATTTAATAGAAGAAACCTCTGCACGAGGGTGTTACTCTATCTCCTAGAAACGTTCACTATTCATTAAAGGGTATGTTACAGAACACAGAGCATAGTCTTGTTACAGTGATAGCTGAGGTTTTGTGTTCCCAAGCTCCAGTTTTCAGGAGACTTTAACTGCTGTAAACACTTTGCTTTTGCCATACATGGTGTCAGCCTAGGAGCCTTTTCTAGTACAAAATTTCAGAAAACATACTTAGTTCAAGTTATATGGATGCAAATGTGTTTTGTGATTTCAGGTGCTTTACTGTGATCTTAAAAGTTCAGCAGATCATTTGTCCGTAACGGGCCGGCTATCTGGATGTTTTGGCTGTGGGTAAACTTTTTTTTTTTTTTTTTTTTTTTTTTAATAACACTTCTGCTCCCAGAAAGCCAAGATGGTCAAAGCTGAGGTCCCTGCAGCGCGTGACGCCGCCTCCTCAGCATGTGGTGAGGACGTGGCCCAAGTGCTGTGGAGAGGCCTGCCCGAAGCGGGGCTGCCCCTCGGCTCCGAGCTGCTCTGCCCTGGGGGCGGTTCTGTTAACGGCACCGGTGTCGATGCGGCCGCGCTCGCCTAAACGGAGCGGGATCCGCTGCTCCAGTTTCGGTCGAGCTGATCCTTGTCTTTCTGGCTCTCAAACCTGCCCCTCTGCTTGTGCTGTGGCAGCAGCAGCGAGTACAAAACAGAAACTTCACTGAAGAATTAGCAAAACTTACATTTCAGTAACTCAAGTTTAGGATTTTCAGAATGAACCTTAATGATGTTTACAGTTGTCTAATAGCCACTTCACAATATTACATTTCCTTTTGAATTACAGTAGCTCGCAATTGTTCCCCTTGTTCCATCAAGCTCTCCTTGGTTTCCTGAGGTTCATACAAAAAGCTGATGGCTGTAAAGATTATATATATTTTTGGTCAGTTTTTCATTAACTTTTTTGCTGGTAGAAAAGTATGTAGAAATAAATTAAAGCCATGTTTTTATATATATAAAAAGTCGGGTAATGTTGCTGTTTAGGTGAGTGCAGTTAAACTTGGTCAGTAAGTAATCTTACCTGATCTCAGAAGGAGATTTTTACTACCTGGTTTATTGTATTAAAACTGTTTAAGTTTGAGGTTACCTCAACTTGTTTAAAGATTTTTTTTGTGGACTTGTACTGTATATTTGCGTAACTATGTTGAGCTTTTATTTAAGATCATTTAACATGTACCATGTACATGTCATTTTACTATATTTCAATGCATCATGCTTGTAACAGGCATTTCATTTATAATAAGTGATTAATTTGGAAGCTCTTTGGTAATTTATCTGCTATTCCTAAATTGGCATAATGTTAGCTATCTATTTAAAATCACCTTATAATTGCTTGTCAAAATGCCTTAACTACCCTAACTTGACCAAAATATTATTTTGGTGGGGGTATGGGGAGGATTATATTAATGAAGAATTAATTAGTTTTGCGATACACGGAACAGTGAGTGGTGGATAACTTTGCACAAATTGTCAGTCCTTGTTATTTTTTTAAATTGAACAAGCTGTTTCTAGCTGTCTTGTTAGAAGGAATGTATTCATGCTGCAGTATAGGGCTTTGTTTCTAGTATTTGGGAGGGCTGTTTCTCTCTCAAATCTGGATATCTTTACATTTTATTCTTCAGTATTTATGATCATGCTTCTTTACTAGAGCAGATTTGATCAATTATTCTTTCCCTTGAACTTACCTTGAAATAAAGCCCCGCTTGCCCTGGCCTGTTTTGCACTCTGTCCCCTTCCTCTCCGTACGTTCACGTCCAGCCCTCGCTGTTTTTCCCACTTGCCAGAACCTTCGCTCGGGAGGAGCGTGTGGATGGGGGAGCCTCCCCACGGAGCCGGTGCCACCAGGGAGGATCTGACGGCTGCCTGGTGGCTTCTGCTGGGCCTTGCTGTTTGTGTTCAAGCAGTCTGTAGTTGAGCACTGTGTATAAAGCCATTTGCCTCATATCACATCATTTTTTTTTTTAATACAGAACAAATTTGGTTTTTAATTAACAAATCATGAGTTTATCCCTCACTGGACACACCAAAGACCAGTAAAGCTTATAGCTTTTCCATCTGTTTATAAAGCAATACTGTATTATAAAGAATTAATATTTTTATCACATGCTTGATTGTTTTTGTTTGTTTTTTTAAGATGTGCACTCTAAACATATCAAACCTAATTTCTTCCTATGAACTTAAGCTGTCTGCGCACAACAGATTTTTTGGAAAAGGAAATGACAGGGCCCATAATATCAAAATAACTTTAAAAGATGCATGAAGCAGTAACGCTTCCTAGGATTAGCTGATTGTGACCGTTTGAGAGGAATGTACAGGAAAGGTGTGCCGAGAAACGGGAACACGCGCATGGAGCGCAAGCGGCTTCCAGCTGCTGCACAGATTCATGTTTCTTATCAGGAGCGGCTGTTAGGGAGCAGTAACCCGGAGGAGAAGGAGGTTCATATTCCCGTAACCTGCGGTATAGGGGATGCAGCAGCCTTTGCAGGAGTCAGGGTGTCTGCAGCAGTGTTACTGGGTATATGGGTTAAAAAGGGCTCAGATGTGGTGAACTGAAAAACTGTGGTTCTTTGCTACTTCCCTGGCTATCTTTGGGAGACCTGCAACATACAGTTTCCCTCTAAATTTACTTTCTTTGTGCTTGTAAAGAAGGTATGGCCAAAACCAAACAGATTTTGGGACCAGATAGTTATGGCTGAGGAGGGGAGAAGGGAGAGGTGAAGGTCTAGTGAAATGTATTTTGTGAGGGAATCTCCATTTCTTGGCAATGGACACCCTTTCTCCAGGGGAAACCAGACTGTGTGTGGGTAGTAACTGACTGTATGAAGTAGCTTCTTACAAAGATAGCTCAAATAAAGCAAATCTGAGTCTGTATCTAATGAGGATGCTTTCTTTGTTTTGTTTGTTAAAATGAGACTATCATCTATGCTTACCTAAGAGGCGATTATGTGAATTCATGTCTGAGGTATAACTTATGCAGGAATAGTTCTGTAAATACATTTAAATGAATTGTAAAGATATTTAATAAATATAGTATTTATACTAAAATGTGGTGGTTTTTTAATTGCCTGCAAAAATTCTGTTCATTAATGCAACTATACGGTGACCCAGGCATAGCTCTTGGGGGTGTTTGGCTTCATTTAGGCTGTTGTACAGAGCCCTCACGCAGGTGTCAGTGGCACCATGTCCTACTATCTAACACCTTCCCTAACCGTTAGGCAAACATTGCAAGCCTAGAACACAAGAATGTCTTAAACTCATGCTTTCAAACACTAATAACTTTTTTATTGCATTTCCATCAGTGTATAGTAGTATTATCTACTCAGCTCAATGTTAATCATACTAAGTAACTGTAAAAAAAGCAGTTACTATACAGCAATAATGTCCCATGGACAGCTGTGTTACTCCATCGCTTGTAACGTCACCATAGCAGGTGAATTTGCTTCAAGTGGGTAACACAGGGTGAATTCCCTAGGTCCTCCTGGAGGGCAGAACTCATGCAGCGCATCTAGAGAGCACCTGGTTTACAAATCTCAATCTAGGCAACCATGGCTTAAATTTAGATTATACTAGGAATATATCTGCAGTTCGACAGTGACCTGTACTGGTGGCTAACATGTAGTATTACAAATAGTAGAAAACTCAACCAAAGCTAACAAAAAAATAAAACCTCTTTTGGGTTTAATTCTTAATGCTGGTCTCAAAAATCAGGTTGTGAAATGTAAGTAACGAATAAATATTTAACTCGTGCTGACATAGCAGGAAACTATAGCATGTACAGAGGAGAGTTCTAACTTTTTTTTTTTTATGCTTGCCTTGCCAAAAAAAAGATAGAAATTAGATAGCACTTCCACTTTTCAGACTTTCTCAATAGATGCAAGTGAATTCAGTTTACCATCAACCTCAAAATATAGATAAAAGTAATGTTTGAGAAGTTCTAACTTGTCTAAGAACAGTAGGACAGTTTCATAATAGCATTAAACTTCTTTCTAAAACTAGAAGCAGCTCTACAATTACCGTGTCAAATATTCTCCCATCTTGGAAGGCAGTTGTAGTCCCCAGGTACAGACTAGTGCCAGCGCTTGGTATTATTAGAGAACTTGAGATCTCTGCGTAGGGACAGAATCCTCTTCGGTGTCACTGGCTGTTGCTAAACTATGGAAGGTGTCGTTGATGGCATCTTTCTCCTTAAAAGAGACTGCTCCAAAAAACAGGGAGTGAAACTGGAAAATGCAATATTTATAACAATAAGATACTATGCACGTGATACCCATTGGGGTTAATTATTTCTCAAGCCTTGGCCACTTTGACAAGATTTTAAAATGCATTTTTTAATCTGTGGTGTTTCCAAGTAAAATATACCTGCAAGTATTTAGTGCATTCTAGTAGAACACGGTGAATTTTTGTCACTTACACAGCTGTGAAAGCTGATTCGTTTTCACTGGAACAGCTTGTGGAGAGCCAAGGAGCACAGTGGAGCATACAGCTAAATAGCAGCTGCAGAGCCTTATTCCCCCGTTTGCTTAAATAAGGCAGGTGTGACTGCAGCTTCCTTACCTTGTGATAATCAGAATGTGTTGACTTCATTTCTTGCATTGTATGGTCATCTATCTCAATTATGGTAGCTCCTTCTATGCCTGTAGTGTCTCCATTTGACATTTTGGGAATAGTTGTTCTTTCTTGTTTTGCTAAAGGACTTCTAGGTGCTGCCAGCTCCATCTTTTGTGAATTCCCATTCCAGTGTGGCTTGCTGGAAGCTATTGCTCCTGAGTTACTATCTCTGTCCGTGGAGTTTTTTTCAGATTTACTCATACACGTCTTCAAGCTGAAAGGGAGAGAAGGGAGAGGTCAGGTTAGTAATGAGCCTTTATGTGTTTCTAGTGGCTGGTCAGTACTTTCTGCTAATGAAAAACTTCATGGTTTTAAAGCAGATTCTCTGCTTGTGTCTGCCCTTCCTCTCTTACAAGAACAGAACTTGGTGGAGACTCAGCAAAGCAGAGGTGAGCGTGGAGTTTGCTCCTGTGATTTTACTGCATATTAAGTAAGGCCCCCATAACTTTTGTGCTGTCTCCTTTTGCTGCAAAAATGCCCCCTTAGCGTTACTAAGGTTTTAGGCTGCGTTCAGGAGGAGCACATCAGGGATGAGTAAAGATGTGAGAATCCTACAGGAGTGACTTGGGCCGCTCAGACAAATGCTGGCTGCCTGCTTCTATGTCTGTGCCTGGACAGAGAGCAGGTATTTAGCTGTTTGCTTTGATGAAAAGGATCCACCAGTGGAGAGAGACTGTCTGCGTGTGGTCCCAAACTATGAGCTTATTCGCAAACCTCTGTAGTTCACAGTTTTCCTGTGAACAAAGACCCCAGTCTTGGGTACAATGTTAAGAATGTCCAGTAAGAATTAGGAGGTCATTTTCTTTACCTCTGACTTTGCTGGAAACCTTAAACTTTGGTTTTCAGTCCAAGGAGTCTAGCTCCATCAGCCACCCCAAAGCCCCCGTTACCTTTCCTGGCGCTGTGAAAAGCGTGGTGGCTGCTCAGGGGCTGCCTCGTCGCCAACGACAGATAACGTAGCCAAAATGAAGCTGGCTTCCAGAAGCATATCTTCAATGCTGAAAGCAATTGGCCTAAGCACAAACAGTCAGAGACTAAATAGCATCTACAATTACACGGATTTGGGGAGAAAGCATCTGGGGAGAATTGCATCGCTCATGCAATTACATACACATGGATTAAAAAATAACCTAAAAAGATGAAAATCTGATGTGAGTGTTTGCTGCTGTGGAATACAGGATGCCTTCCTACTACAGGTAAATATGCATCGATCAGCAAATGCTACACAGTATTATACTTAGTTGTGCTTTTAATATGTAACTATTAAAATGGCACTTCAAGCAGAAAATATACTGTTTCTTTAGACTACGAAATAAAATAATTACATGCATTAGACTGCAAACCTGAAATGTCCATGTAGCTTGTGGATAGTCAGCATGGCTAGCCTGGTTCTATCCATGCCTGTATTAAATGTCTTATGTGTAACAACAAACTGCTTAACTCAGTATTGCAGGTTAATTAGAAATACAGCTTTGGGTAAGAAGTTGAAATCAATTTTGTTTAGTTTCAAAACGTACTTTCCAGATATGTCGAAATGGATGGAGACAGGAGTACTGGTAGCTTCTGAAAATGCTAGGAGTCCCTGAAAAGAAGGGGTGGGAGGTTAGGTGCTATTTTAATAAAAGAAGTGTAATGTTAGAATATACGTTTAGCCCAATTGTTTACTCCTGAAAAGAGGAGGAGGTGTAAGTCTACTGTTTCTGGAACACTCTCCTTGCCTTCTCTGGCTGGATTTCCTGCCTGCACGTAGACTGTGGCTGCTGTACTTTCTGCAGGACAGTTATAAGGTGCTTGCCCAGCACTGAAACTGTATTGTTGTTGCTCTAAAAACATTTCCCTTGACCTTGAAAGGCTATAGCAAGGGTCGCTGCAGGGCCCTTAAAATCCTTGTTTTTAAAGCTATTCCTTAAGCGGCTGATAAATACCGATGATCTGGAGGCCGGAACACATTCATCAGGTAGAACACAGGTTAATTTATGCAAATTCATGGAAAATGATCTATTTTCAAAGTAAAGTCTTATTTTACCCTCAGTTCCTTAAGGCAAAATGTTACTTCAGAATCCACTCCAACTTGAAAGTAGTCAAATTCATCTGGATTTAGCTGTATTTCAGTATGCATTGCCTTTGAAAAGTCTGCTCAAAATAATAAGAAACAAAAGGACTCAGGACTGAAATTTAAGCTCAACAACACTGTGATTACAACATTTTTTTACAACAGCATTGTTTGAAAAAAGAACTGTATTTTTATAGTGACTAGTAGTAATAAATGTGTAGCTGGCTTTGGCTAAAAAAAAAAAAAATCATATTCAAACAGATTTTGTGTGTGTGTGTGTGTGTGTGTCTCTCCAGTAATTTCTTTCCCGTTTCACTCCAGCCTTTTCACCACTTCTCCCTTTTCCCTCTCCCCTGCTCTAGCTTGTTCTCAGCCCAGCTCCCACCCTGACACCAGACATCTTTTCTAGGTCATTATGCTCAGCTTTGCTCATAAGCAAGTATGAAAAGCATCCCTTTATTATATGATATACAAGAACCTATACTTCAGAAACAACTATGCATTTAAAATTAGTTTGAGTCACACACCAAGAATCTGCAATCTGCAACACCAAGATCTGCAAATGGCAGAGCACAACATAAAAGTTCTAGGCCAGTTAACACAATATAGTACCCTTACATTAAGATAGACTCAGTATTGATATCTGTTCTATAATATGGTATTCACATTTAAATAGTTCTTTTTAAAAGCATAAAATGATCTCCTTTTGTATGCCTGTTATCATATGTTTGCTCTTACAACACACTAATTATCTTTCTTCCAGCGTGTAGAAAATGGTGTAACTTATTTAACTGGTTGATCATTCTGGTATCTGCTGCTGATACCTGAAAAGAAGTATTATTAAGAACATATTTCCTTAACATAAATATATTAAATCCAGTGGGTGACAATATGGCTTAAAAATCTGTCTCTGTATGTTCCTTTCCTAAAAGATTTCATTCAGCCATGAAATGTATTTTCCATTTATGCTGCAATGCTGCTTATTATTTCTTTAGTTTGCCTGCTTTAAAGGCCCAGTATTCTTTCATATTTTGAATTTCCTTACCAGTGTCTTCCTCACTGTAACTCTTGAAACAAACTTTCATTGGAGTAACTGCCAGGGTTACTTCTTCTTGACTCATCGGAAAGTGAATCATTATATCAGCCAGCAACCTGTAACATTTAACTTAGCATTAAAATAGCTCTATATGTTACAAATTATTAGCTAGCATTTGTTATTCACACTGATTACTGTGATAAAACGTCTCTGTACAAGGTGCACTTTAATAGAATTGCTTTTCTTTTTAATAGCATGGCGAATCTGGGATTCCTCATTGCTTTTTTTTTTTTTTGGTGGCGGGGGAAAGATGTTTACTTTTGAAAGCAAAATTTTGTTCCACTTTTTTTTTTAAATAACTTGCACTTTTATTCCTTGATTCTTTGCCTATACAATTTAAGCATGATTATTTCTGATAGGTGGAAGTTGCTCAAGTATGTTAATTCAAATTACATATTATACAGTTCTCAAGGTTAGACTGAGTAGGACTGATGGCAGAATAATCCAAGTTTCGGAAGCTGGAATGTGAAACATCAGGTACTCGTAGATGGGATTTGGAACTTCACCATTTTTGGCTATGGGGTCCATAATAATCAGGCTTCGATTATGTTAACTGGCATGAGAGCAGGATTGCATCATATATGATTTTTAAAGAACATTTATGCATTACCTGGATTGGAGTTTAAGCACATTTGGACACATGTGCTTTGCAAAAACAGCCTGTAGCGGATCACATTCTTGAAAAGTCAGATTATGTGTTTTTACAACACCTAAGTAAAAAGCAAATGAACAAAAATTAATGTTGGACTGTAATTTTTAATGCTGATTAGTATTAATTAGTCTTTTCCACAAATCTCAATAAAAAAAGGAGCCAAGGAATTCAGTCTACCTACCTGGAAATGTCGCCCACAAATAGAAAATGGAATTAAAACTAAGTCTAAGATTTCTTTCATGCTATTAGTCATTGCCCTCTAAAATCTGTGATTCTTAAGAATTTACAATGAACAAGCAAACAGCAATGAGTGCAACAAGTGAAAGAAAAAGAAGCCTTCAATATTTAACTGCTAAATACTATAAACAGTGGGAGAGAGCAAAACTAAATCCCTACAGGTCTACGTTTCTAGATAAGCATGAGCTGATGAATGAGCAAAGCTGGCTTACTTGACCTAAGCAATATAATTTCTCATTGCTATTAATGCAAGCTACATTTATAATACTATAAAGTTGCCCATTAGATAGCACAGCTCTGTAGGCTGTGTTGATAGATAAGTTATTTACGAGCTCTGCAGGGACTAGTGGCTACGAACACACTGTCTTCTGTAGGACTGAGGATGTCAGACCTGTAAAGCCAAAGAACTTTGTAAGTGCGAGAGACCCTTTTTGCACTTGCGAAGTGCAAAAAAACCCTGTAAGTTCTCAGGTAGCTGCCAACAGGATTTCCCTCCTTGCCCTTTTAAATAATGTGGTGGCTTGTTTTGTTTTTCAGAATTTAATGTAGCCTAATTTTAAATGTTGCAAGCAGTGGGCTAACAATTGTGTATAACACACACTCAACTACTGAACGGAAGCGCAGAGTTCAGCAGTTGCTGATAAAAGAAAGTTGACTGATAAATCCTGTTATAACTTATTTTTAACACGAAAAAGTACATTAAAAATACTCATTATGATGTGGAGAGGCTGAACGTGTTTGGCATGATGTTCCATCAGTAGCAAACAATTAATAATTACACTAAATATCGTCTTCCTGTTTTAAAATCCTTCTGGAAAGTCACTTAATGTAACCTACCGTGTTTACAGATGAGCTGAAAAGTTATGTGATGATCATGAATATTTGTATAAATGTTGCATTTCTCTACATTCCTTTCCAGCATATTGACACATCTAAATACAGGAAGAACTGACTGTAAAAACAAAAACAGAAAAGTGTAAAGGTTACCAAGCAATTTTGCAGTATTATTTTCCTCATTTAATGCAGTTTATGTCAAGCTCCTGTTTCTATGGCCTCCCAAAGCTGCTTTATAAGCAGACACCAAGGTAGTGATAATGATCTTTGCCATCCTCACCCACTGTGCAAGGTGTTTGCTAAACAACTAGGAAAAGCTCTCTGGCTCATACTGTTTTGAAGGTTACAAGAGAAATACTCCAGAGACACAAACATGGCATTTCTTCATCCCAAGATGAAACTGGTTCCATGTTTGGGAACTGCAGGGTACAATTTGGGGGGGCACCACTTTCTGAAGATCATTAAACACAAATGTTCTCATTTGCAGAATTGCTCAGAAGCACCAGAGCTTTGAGCTCCAAAAGCCACCGCAGTGGCCAGGTTTTAGTTGCTAACAATGTCCTCTATTTGTCTAAACAATCCTCCCCCTGCAATCTCACTTGAAAACTGGGTTGCTTTGCTGCTTGCAAAGCTATACATGCCAATCCATTAAAACGTACCTTAATTATCAATTTACAGGGAAGGGGCAACTGTTTCTCCTTCTGACACGATTCAGACACAGCTGCCCAGCAGTAATGTTGGAAAAAAACAGATGAAAAGAAGATGTATGCACAGGCTGACCTAGAAGAATTCACTGATCTTAAGGCAAGCTGAAAATGAAGATACTTCATTAACTCAAAACTGCTTCATATGGAACCTTCAACAAAAAGGCTGCCTCTATGCTTTAGCACCATAACTAAGCACAAAACCTTAAGCAGGTATGTCTCAAAATATATAGAGATGCACATAATCACGTTCAAACTAATCCTTCCTTACTGCAAGTCAGAGGTAACTGGTATAAGAGAGGCACGGGAATCTGATCTAGGGGTACTTAAGTGAGCTAATATTGAAGTGTGAATTACCTAAACATTTAAAACTGAACTTGAGTTTGAGGCTTCTGAAGGACTGGAGCTTGTTTTAATACAATTTTAATTCTTGCCCATCCACATCAAGCAAATGAGCAATGACATTGTGTATCACAGCACCAGCACTGCAAAAGCACTTTAGATATAAAAAGAAAGTGGCTCTGCTTCTGATTTGAAAGCTTCCCTGCAAGGTAAGAAGAGCTGAGCTTAATCTGCCTTGACTAAGAAGCCTCCAGAGAAAACACAGATTTAGAGGGAAGTGGTGGCTGATTAACGGGGACGCTGTTCCTGTTGAGTCACAGCAAAGCAGGACACAAACATGTTCAGAGGCAGTTTCTGAGGTAGTACAAAACATAAGTTTTTCAGTTATGACAATAAAAATGAACCCCACAGTAGTAACCTGGATTCCTGCACAAGCTTTAACTACGGTAATAAAAAAAAAAAAATCCATGAATATTAGGGGTAGAGTGGAGATGGATTTTCCATGATACAGTCTGCATGATTACAATAACAGAAAACATGGCATTTGTCCATGTTTAAAGTGGAGGAAGCTGAGAGTGTGTAACTGAGCCTGAAGGGCATTTGGAGGGAAGCAATTCAATACAAAATCCAATGATGTTTGTTTCCAGAACAGAAAATTTTAAATGACAACAAATTCACTTACACCTTTTTCTACTGGATCAAAACAAAATTCATCACTAATGCGTGCTATGGCATGTATTGCTCTTCCAAACACTAGCAGAAAAGAAGAAAGGTGCAATTTGCATTCTCAGTTAAATGAAAAACAAGCTAGACTGCATTTTCTCTGCAATAACTTAAATGGAGATCTATATTGATGTCGCTGTTTTCAGAAGCTGCCTCAAATGTTGGATGTCTCTTTGCAGGAACGGGTATCTCCTGGGGAGAGCAGCAGGGCAGGTAAAGACCAAGCCCCAGGGAACACCCCAGGGACCAGGGGAGGGTTCGACATTTCCCTGTGCTCACCCTGGCACTGGCAGGGCAGCACCAGGCATGGAAAGTAAGGGGCTCGATTTGGGCTTTAGGCAGGAAAAGGCGGTGCACAAGTAGCTGCGAACTCAAGCAACAGCTTGCCTGCCACAAAGCACCCAAAACTCGAGTCTTTGCACTCAAATCTGACCAACTTTCAGAGGGCGGCAGTGCGTGAACCTCACTGTGGGCCGCGCGCGCAGCATGGCCACAGCCGCCCTGCCCTGAAGCGGCTTCGTCCCAGCTCTCTGGCGCGGCTCCCCCCCGCGCAGACCGCCCTGTCCTGGCCGTGCCGCCTCTCCCGGGGGCACCGGTACCTCGGAGGTGCCCGCCCCCGATCACGCACTTCATGGCCGGGCTGACACCCAGCGGCCGGCGCCGCCCCCCCCCCCCTCC